TGCAGGATAAAACACCTCGAAAATGGGGAAACAAGCTACAAATTTATAAAAGATTACCTAATTCTAAAGAAAAAAAATAAGTATTGCGTAAATGCTGTAATGTGAAATTTTAAATTAATCATTCACACACAAAAAGAGATTTTTCAAACCCAATAAAATTGACTAAGATAGAAGGGAAAAAACCTTTACTTTTTTTTTTTGAGAATGGTTTTGCCTCATTTAAAAATAGAACAAAGCATTTTATATTTCTAAGTTTAACTCAATCCATATAAAATCTTATTTTACAAAACTCATATTAAGGTATCCGACAACGTTCGGAACCGTGATTTTGCAAAAGCGCATAAATGGATAATTTTCATGATATTTAGGGTCACTTTATAAAATTGTTTTAGACATTTTGACAAAAAAAAATGATTCAAATGCAATATTTTGGCAAAAAATTAACTTGTAATAATCTTTTTTCAAAATGTTCTCCTTTTGTGAAAAATGCTTCTATTATAATAATATTTTACCTGTATATAGCTCAGACCTCTCTACAGAGGCTCCATTAGAATTTTTGAAATATATAACTTCGAAGTGCGTTTATCCATATTTTACGACAACAGAGGGGAACAATTTTAAGAAAAAAACGCCAATAATTATTTCAATTGGTGGTAACTCGGAAAATAATGTGAATTTTTCAAAAATTCTAGTGGAGCCTCTGTAGAGAAGTCTGAGCTATATACAGGCAAAATATTATTATAATAGAAGCATTTTCCACAAAAGAAGAACATTTTGAAAAAAGGTTATTCTAAGTTCATTTTTGGCCAAAATATTGTATTTAAATAATTTTTTTTGTCAAAATGTCCTTAAAACATTTTCATGCATGTATTCTAATCTGAGTGATACTAAATATCAGGAAAATTATCCATTTTTGAGCTTTTTTAAAATCCTGGTTCCGAACGTAGTCGGATACCTTAATGTCACTCTTCGGCGCAATAGTTGTGGCCGCGGAAGCCTAATGGTCAAGATGACGATCTCGTGGTCGGTGTGTCATGAGTTCGCGCCTAGTACCGCTGAAGACCCGCCGTGTAGGGAAAAATGCACTTTTAATATGCCGAGAGCTCAAACGTCCACCCGTTGGTATAGTGTGGGATGCCAGTTCAGGTTTCATCCTCGTCATTTGACCATGGTTCTAATTTACGAGGTCCGTCGCCAAAAGCCCTAAAGTATCTGAATAGTGTGCCGTTAATATTCACCCACTCACTCGCTAATATGATCACCGTCTTGTGGGAAACGTGTCAGAAGTTCGAGCGCAGTGCCGCTGATCCGCTGTGTAGAGGCGCTTATGTACGTTAAATCTGCCGAGGCTTTAAAATTACGAGGTCCGTCACCAATAATCCTCATGCCACTTTAAAGTGCGGCGTTAATAAACACTCACTTACTCTCTCGAAGGTACATTGAGACTATTGGCAACGGACCTCGTCATTTTGAACCATGATCAAGTAACGAGAAAGAATTCACTTCCTCACTATGCCAGGGTGAAGACTTCGTGCCTTGATAGATTTAATGTGCAGATGTATAGTAGTTCTTTACTGGAGCCAGGACCCGAACCTTCGACTCAACAAGTAACGATACTGTTTATGCGAATTTTCGATTATGACCATTCCGCCACTACGACCACGAACTGTTTGAATCTCTTGCATACATTCTGTGATATTTAATTTAGCATTTTCAATTGAAATAAACTCATGTTGATTGAATGGTCTTAAATTTCTAGGACACAGCAGGATAATGAGATGCATCCATTATAATCAGAAAATTTTTAACCGCAAAAAAAAGGAAAAATATGTTTAATATACGAGGGTCATCCAGAAAATGGAGACCATTTAGTTACACAAAATCAAAACACAATATTTATTGAATAAAATAGTTCTTTTACGTATTGTGATGTCTGAGATAAATAAGGGTAGCGTGTGATATTGATTAATTTAAATATTTAGTTTATTTACGTCACAGCTATTATATACAGATTATACATTCAAGTTAATAATCTTATTAAAGAGATTATTAGAATTCGAATGAAGTGGTTTGTGAGGGAGGAGTTTCTCTTTGGGGTCTCAAGTTTTCAGACCATCTCCAGTTCTCTCTCTTTGCTCTCTCTAGCTTCGGGGATGACAGAGGCCGACGTCTTTAGCTTCCAGTTACATCCTGCTAGTGGGCAGAAAGGGGTCCCTCGTGGTGTCAAAGGTTGTCGGGGTGATCCAAGACAAGACCACGCAATAATTTTAAAGTTGCAGGTGCCAATGCACGTTTGGGGATCCACAAAGAAGCCGATTCACAGCTGTGTGGCGGGAAGCGTTACAGTATTTTGAAGCATCCGTCACTTCTCTACATAATCATTTCTTACATTTAAACATTTGTCGTACCTCTTCAGGAGCTTCAGAATTTTCCAAGTTATGTTCTTCTGCTGACATTTCATTATGCCAGGTGGTTACTGTATTTAAACGAAAGACCGATAGTTTGGACCTTGCTCTTGACGACTGTCATCTTTTCTCCAAAACAAGGGAAAAGATGACAAGAGTTTCTGGGTGATAAACGTTTGGGAAGTGTTGAAAAATTGGAGAATACAGAAGCAACCTGGTTCTCAATGCACTGGAGTTCTGAACAAATACGACAAATGAAATTAAGGAAAATATATTTAAAAAGTGAAAGGTTTTCAAGATATGTAACAAAATTATTTTTTCCTAATAAATATATTATTGTGTTTTTCAATTCCTCTCTCTCTACTATTAGTTCATTCTCTCCCTATATATATATATATATATATATATATATATATTTAAAATTTTTAATCGCTTAAAAAATACTTTGTTCATCCATTCAAGTTCAAATACATTTTTAAACTTGTAGTGGATGCCCTTGAATAACAATACAGTTTTCAGTTTTATAATTCTTTTTTAAACTAAAAAAGAATAAATAGTAACAAACAAAAAAAATATCCTAACATATATAGAAAGGAAAACCATTCGTTGTTTCCCCGTGTGCTGGTGCCGTTGGACTTCTAATAAATGGTGGGGTTTAATCCCCCCTTGGAATGGAACTGAGAATGCGATTTCAAAATTTTTATTGGAATAATTAAATTTAATTAATGAGTAAATAGCAACAAACAAGAAAATAGTTCAACACCCTATATAGAAAGGAAAATGAAAAATTGTAAGGAAAATCGCTTTCTCTATTTTGTCACTTAATATTGTGATTCTGTCATATGTAAATATATATATTTATATTAATTGTAACTATTTTTTAAAAGCTAACTAAAATAAAATTTCTTTGTTCACCTAGGAATTGATTTAAGAAAATTAATAAATATTGTGTTTTTCATTTTGTACAACTAAACTGTCTCTGTTTCCTGGATGACCTTTGTATAATGTGAACACATTTGAATGGGGATAGACAACTAGGAAGTTCCACATGCCGAATCAGAATCCAGGTTGCGCACAAACATAAAAATTCAGGAAAATTAGTGTGAGCGCTCCAGGTTTAGATTCAGGCTAGTAAAACAATTTCTTCTTCGAAACCTAATCTCAACGTACATAATCCTTTCAAACAATTTTTAAATCAACGAAATTAGTTCTTAAAATGGCACAACAAACAAAGTGCAATTTTCTACAGACGAGTTTGTAATTTCGTCTATCGGGTATTGTTTTCCGCGTTTTTGTCTGTTAATTATAGTTATCGTGTGTAGAATCACTCTTTAGTTAAATAACTGATCTCTCTCTCTCTCTCTCAAACATGACCTACATATGAATACATCGATCCGAATTTATCATCAATAAAACAAAATGAAACGCATTTGGCTGAAATGCCGAGCACGTGTTTGAGAAACTTGAAAACTGAAGTCGATTGGTGAATGCTTTTATGGTCAGATGTCATGCAATAATAGAGCTAAAAATAGCATCATTGTGAGTTCATATTTCTGTTTTGATTGAGAAAAGTTATATTGTTATAAACAGAATAAAAACATGCAATATAAAAAAAAATTAAGTCAATTCCTACTTAGGTCAACAAAGAAAAATTTTATTTTACCTACTTTTTATTAAATAGTTACAATTAATATAAATATGTATATACATAGGGCAGAATCACAACATTAAGTGGTAATTAGTTTTTGTTAATTATCATTAAAGTATTGAATCGTCATTCAAAACAATCGTGTAAAAAAATTTCAGTTCAACTGAATGCTTTAAAACGTGAGAAAAAAACACCTTTTCAAGTTTTGACACAAGTCGCCAAAAAGGATGCCAACGTGGCTGTATTTGTAATTCTTTAAATAATTTGTTTTAATCCATTAATTTTTATTAATTATAATTAAATTACTGTATTGTCATCCAAAATAATCATGTATATAAAATTTCAGCTCCACTGAGCGCTTTAAAATGTATTTTATTAATGATTGAAAATTCCACCAAGATAAATAAATAAATATATAGATATATAGAGATTGTCAGCTATAGTAGGAATTGAGAGATAGCATCATTGTGAGTTCATATTTCTGTTTTGATTGAGAAAAAGATATATTGTTATAAACAGAATAAGAAATAGGTGTATTTTTGAAAAAGGAATAGTTATTTACAGTCTGTGAAAAACATTTCGATTATCATAACAGAGAAAAGATCGCAGGTTTCTTCCATGTTGCTTATAAAAATTTTACTTATCAAAACATGTAATATAGAAAAAAAATTAAGTCAATTTCTACTTAGGTCAGCAATGGAAAATTTTATTTTAGTTACTTTTTATTAAATAGTTACAATTAAAATAAATATGTATAACCATAGGACAGAATCACACTTTTAAGTAGCAAAATATAAAGTGATTTTTTTGCGATTTACCATTTTGCTTTCTATATAGGTTATTGGACTATTATTTTGTTTGTGGTGTTAATGTTTATTCATTTATTAAATTAAATTATTCCAATAAAATAGTATAGTAAAAAGAAATCACATCCATAGAAACTAAGCCATCCTAAGTGGGACTTGAACCCACGTCCTTCGGATTAGAAGTCCAACGCGCTATCCATTGCGCTACAGGGCCACAAAGAACTATTTTCGTTTGCATGTAAGTTGTTGGACTATAATTTTTGTTTCTGATTATTAATTAATTAAATTAAATTAATAAATTAATCATTGAAAAAACTGTATTAATATCAAGTGTCATCCCCTAAAAGTTTAAAAAACGTATTTGAACTTGAGTGGATGAATAAAAAGTATTTTATTAACGATTGAAAATTTGAACAAGATATATATATAAATAAATATATATCGGGAGAGTATGAAATAATAGTAAAAATTGAAATAACGTAGGGGGTTCTTCTATGTTGCTTATAAAAATTTTATTTATAAAAATATCTTTTGAAGTACTCAAAATACTCCTAGCTCTTTTATTTACACGATGATATGTTCCTTAGAAAACCGTGCAAAAAAAAAATCGGGTACAAAATACATGCGGCATATGGTAAATTTGGGGATACGCACCACACATTTAAAAAAATCGTCTAAGATGAAAAGAGAGAGACTCTACATCAGCGATACTCAACCTGCGGCCCGCCGAGCCTTTTTAAGTGGCCCTGCCATGGCCCATTGCTAAGAGAAATTCACTTATTTAAAAAAATTTGGTGGGAAATTCTTTGTCAAGAAATATATATCAATTTTGCTTTTTGTTGTCGGCATCGTACGGGTACGAATTGATATTCTTTTTCTATTTGGAACAGTTACGGTTAGTAATAACTGACAACAGTAGAATGAACAGTGGGTGGAATTAATTTTTAACTATCTTTCATATCTTGCAAGCGAAAAATATTCGAAGAAAATATATCGCTTCAAAACGATTGAAAGGTTGACTATTTTGTAGTGAAAAACAAACATGGATCAATAATGTTTGATTCGTCACGAAAGTGATGTATTTAAAAAATACCAATAAAAAGGAATCATTCAATGACAATTTTCCTCGAATATCTCTTTCAAGAGGTGATACATATGCTTTCTTGAATAATCTTTGCAACAGCAACATGGTGTTTTGTCAGTGGCAATATCACGGCGGTAACAAAGACATCTATGAAGTTTGTTATATTAATAGTAATCATATGAAACCGTTTACTGATGCATAAATTCTGAAGGAGTGTTTCTTAAATGCTTCTTATTAAGTGTCAGTAACAAAAATAAAAAATATAAAAAAATAATGATGATATATAAAAAAAGCAAAGCAGGAATTATAATAGTATGATTAATTTTCCACATTTTAAATTTCCAATGTTACCTTGGTCTTAAAGCATTTCTTCCTCCCTTCCCCATTTATCCTCATGTTGCGGCCCACGTGAAATAACTAACATATGTATGCGGCCCGAGTGAAACAGCTGACATACGTATGCGGCCCGAGTGAAACAGCTGACATATGTATGCGGTCCAGCAGAAAAAAAGGTTGAGTACCCCTGCTCTAGATCAGCGATACTCAACCTGCTGCCCACCGAGCCTTTTTAAGTAGCCCGATTATGGCCCATTTCTCTGAGAAATTTACTTATTTAAGAACATTGTATTAAAAATTTGGTGGGAAATTCTTTGTCAAGAAATCAAATATATCAATTTTTTTTTTGCTGTCGGTGTCGTACGGGTACGATTTGATATTCTTTTTCTATTTGGAACGGTTACGCTAGTGATAAAAAACAACAGAGGAGAGCGACAATTTTATGGGTGGAATTAATATTTAACTATCTTTCGTATCTTAAAAACGAAAAATATTCGAAGAAAATATATTGCTTCAAGACGATTGGGAGGTTTACTATTTTGTAGTGAAAAACAAACATGGGTCAGTAATTGTTTGATTTGTCACGAAAAGTGCTATATTTAAAAATTACCATTGAACAGAAATCATTCAATGACACTTTTCCTCTAAGATCTCTTTCAAAAGGTGATAAATAGGCTTTCATGAATAACCTTAGCAACAGAAACTAAGTGTTTTATAAGTGGTAATATCACAGCGGTAACAAAGGCATAATATGAAGTTTGGTAATTGTATGAAACCCAGCCTTTCATCCTTTCAGTGGGTCGATAAAATGAGTACCTAGCTTGCTTGGGAACTACACACTGGGGTTTCGCGTCAGGCTGACCACCTAACCAGAACATCTGCTCATGCACTTCAGGGCCCAAGGTCGCGTGTACTGAGTTGGGCACAGTAGGCTTTGGCCTTCACGGGCTGTCGTGCCACTGAGTTAAGGTATCCGACTACGTTCAGAACCGTGATTTTGCAAAAGCGTGTAAATGGATAATATTTATCGATATTTAGTATCACTTAGATTAGAATACATGTATAAAATTGTTTTAAGGACATTATGACAAAAAAAATTATTTAAATACAATATTTTGGTAAAAAATTAGCTTAGAATAATCTTTTTTCCAAATGTTCTACTTTTGTAAAAAGTGCTTCTATTGTATTAATATTTTGCCTGTATTCAGCTCAGACCTCTGTACAGAGGCTCAACTAGAATTTTTGAAGTGCATAACTTGGAAGTCGGTTTATCCATGTTTTACGAAAACAGAAGGGAGAAATTTTAAGAAAATACGCTGATAATTATTTCAAATAATTGTAACTCTGAAAATAATATGAAATTTTCAAAAATCATAGTTGAGCCTCTGTACAGAGGTCTGAGCTATGTACAGGCAAAATATTAATACAATAGAAGCATTTTTTACAAAAGGAGAACATTTGGAAAAAGGTTTTCTAAGTTAATTTTTGCCAAAATAGTGTATTTAAATAATTTTTGTCATAATGTCCTTAACACAATTTTATACATGTATTCTAATCTAAGTGACACTAAATATCATAAATATTATCCATTTATGCGCTTTTTTAAAATCATGGTTCCGAACGTAGTCGGATACCTTAATCATATGAAACCGTTTACTGATGCAGAAATTGTGACGGAGTGTTTTTTAAATGCTTCTCATTTAGTGTTAAAAAATAAAAAACAAAAAATAATAATTTAAAAAAGCAAAACACACACAGGAGTTATAATATTTTGATCAATTTTCCACATTTTAAATTTCTAATGTTATTTTGGTCTTAAAGCATCCCCCCTTTTTTTCCGAACTTTGCGGCCCGCATGAAATAGCTGACACATGTATGCGGCCCAGCAGAAAAAAAGGTTGAGTATTCATTGATTGAGTTCGAGAGAGAAGCCCGATTGGTGTTAAGTAATCGAGCTTCTTAGTGCTTTGTTTTTAACGCCATGAGATTCTACGGAAATTCTCAGATTTGTTTCATTTCCTGAGAAAGAACACTTATCAGGGTTCTCCGTATTTATTTTAGAAGTTACACTTTGTTCAAGATAAAGTATCGGTTGAAGATTTATAAACAAGATTAAATTATTTGAAAATTAATATATTATTTCTTTATATCGAAAATTCGATTTGAAATAAAAATAAAATCTATGAAAGATAGTGATTGAAAAATAAAATTCATTCTACATTAGAACTGATGCAAATTGAATCATCAAAACTTAAATTAAAATGTATAGTATTGTGCGGTTTTTTAAAACTTTTTAGTAGTAAAATTTTGTTTTGTTATTCTCACAATTTTATTTTTTAAAAATTTTGTTATAATGTACTTACTTTTAGAAAATTCGTGTTATATTTTGTTTGAGAAAAGTCTTTTGCCAATATAATAACTCTGAAAACCTTTTGCTGGTCTTTCATTAAAAATTACTTATCAAATTAATTTTGTGTAGTTAAATTTTTTAAATTTTACAATTTGCTATAATTTCAACCATTAACATTACTCTTAATATTACAACATCTTTTCAGTTAATGTTCAAGCAATTTTTTTTTCACTGAATAGTTTTGAAAAAAACAATAAACAAAAGTTGCCATTTTAAAAATACGGAAAACTAGAGTTCATCTGTGTGTATTCGAATGGTGATTTAAATGAAGTTATGGTGATTTAGTTTCTAACAATACACGCGCTATTACTAAAAATTTTGCAATCACACTTTGCACTTGTTATTCCTATAAGAGGTACAGTGGGTGATCGGTTAACGAACAAATCGGTTAACGAACACTTTGACGAAAGATTTTTGTGTTCGGATAACGAACACATATTCGGATAACGAACGCTTTCAAGAAAGATTTTTTATGTTTGGACAACGAACACATATTCGGAGGTGATCAGGGAGACACCCCTGAAATTATGGATGAAATTTTGACAACTGCTAGAGATCTGGAATTGGAGGTGAACGAGGATGACATAGAAGAGCTCATAATAGGACATGAAGATGAACTGACGACAGAAGAACTCCAAGAAATTTTGAATGAAGAACACCAAGAAACACAGCGAAATGTGTCTCCTTCTGAACAAAGAGGAAGACGAAAGAGGACAATGCCGACATCTGCCATTAAAGATCTTTTAAAAAGTGGGAGGATGTCAGAGCAATGGTCTTAGATGCACCCAAACAAGCTGATGTCAGTAGGGTTGGGGATCTTTACAGCGACAATGCTATTAAGTACTTCAGGAAAATCTTGAAAAAGAGAGAAAAGCAATCGACAATGGACATGTTCTTCAACGCCCTAACAAAAATGAAAAGAATTGGATTAATATGCAAGACTATATGTTGTTTTATTTTACAAAAAACTTACTAAGAAAAATTATACATTTTTTAAAATTTAATTTTTAGGGTCTCCAGAACGAATTAATCGAGTTACTAAGAGCTAATTGAGCTACACACAGGCAAAATATTAATACAATAGAAGCATTTTTTACAAAAGGAGAACATTTGGAAAAAAGATTATTCTATGTTAATTTTTTGCCAAAATATTGTATTTAAACAAAATTTTTTGTCATACTGTCCTTAAAACAATTTTATACATGTATTCTAATCTAAGCTACACTAAATATCATGAAAATTATACATTTATGCGCTTTTCTAAAATCATGGTTCCGAACGTAGTCGGATACCATAAGGAAAACACAATTTTCATATAAAAAAAAAGAAATTAAAATGAACCTACTTGTTGCAACATGGTAGGCTTGAATGACATTTCGAACAA